AATAATATCATAATTGTTGATAGATTTCTTGAAATAAAACAAAATAGCATAGTCAGATGGATAAAACATTAGATTGAGATTCAGAATGTGAAGACTCTAATAGTGAAAGGCATTAAGTGTGTGACCTTGTTAAAATCATCTAACTCTTCTTATTTGTGCTTATTTTGTATAAATAGTACTGGTCCATTTCCAAATTATAAGGCAAGTACAGATAGAGGGAAATATTCTACATGTAAATTGTTTTAGCTCTTTGGAAGAAAGTGGCATAGGTATCTAGGCACTAAAAATGTGTGTGTGTTTTTAATGTTTAGAGATGACTTTAAAGTTATTTTAGTATTGACTAAGCAAAATATATAATTTTTAGGGTATGAAAATCCCTAAATTTATGCATGTGAATATAAACTACATGAATTTCATTTAAATTTAAAAATGTCTTTGAAATAATAATATAAAGAAGGGTGAACTACTAACTAAATATTTGTATCAGGGCACTTGCATCAGAGACATGAAAATACAGTGATGAAATAAGAATAAAATGGGCTACAGTATATTTGATGTATTCCCTTTTTTAATTCAAAAGGTTGTTTTTGTCGGCCAACATTGAGTTTTTGTTTTTAACACATAAGATTATTTAAAAATTTATTTTTATTGATTTCAGAGAGGAAGGAAAAGGGAGAAAAAAAGAGAGAGAAAGAGATAGAAACATCAATGAGGAGAGAGAATCATTGACTAGCTGCCTTTTGCACACCTCATACTGGGGATTGAGCCCACAATCCAGACATATGCCCTGCCTGGTTCATAGGTTGACACTCAACCACTGAGCCACTTAGTTGTTGTTATTCACTTTGGAGAAAAATGCAAGCATTTGGAGATAGCTAGGTAAAAGAGTGACACTTTTTCCAGGACTAAATAATTTTAAAAACTAGTAAGAGATAATAGAAATTATTGTCCTAAATAAAGCAATATAAAACAATATATGGATGGATGATAATAAGAAGATAGATAATATTTCTTTTCTATGACGGCAGGCTTATTGTCAAATAATAACTAGAAATCTGGATTATCAGGTTTCATTCTTGACTCTACCACTTTAGAAAACTGTCTTAATTTTACTATGTCTTCATTTCCACGTACTAGTATACCATCTACTCTATTGCTTCATTTACTAACCTACCACTCACTTTCCTACGAATCTGGCTTTTCTCTTTCACTTCACTAAATAAATGGTTCTCTGTGTGGTTAATAACTCTCTTATTTAAGCAAGTAGTAGGGATTATCAAATACAAGAGTGTAATGGACAAGATGGCTGATTTTCCAATATCTATTTCATACCAGACTATAACCCGAGCCAATTATGATTGTTTCTTCCTCATGGCCAGTGATTGGTTCAGCAATGTTCAATGCTAGAAGTCTTCAGAGAGAAAAAAAAAAGTCTTCTAAGAGGACATGAGGACACCACAGGAATAAATGCTCTTCCTCATATGGAAATGATGAGTGTGACTGCTACTGCTACAGCACATGCAGCTATCTTAAAGTCTAGTTACAGACCTGGCAGATGTAAAGGACTTGAACCCAATGTATATTTGATACGATATAACCTGTACAGGGTTATTACAAAAATGCAGAACCCATTATTTCCTCAAGTATTATACTGTCTGTGTCGTCTCATTGGTAATATACATGTAGTTAAGAAAAACTATAGCCTGGCTGGTGTAGCTCAGTGGTTGAGCACTGATCCATGAACCAGGAAGTTCCTGATTGGATTCCTGGTTTGGGCACATGCCTGGGTTGCAGGCTCCATCCCCAGTAGGGAGTGTAAGGGAGACAGCTGATGGATGTTTCTTTCTCTCTATACCTCTCCCTTCCTCACTCGCTAAAATCAATAACTACAAATTAATTGGCAATGCATATTTATCAGTTTGTCCTCATTAGAGTAAGGTGAGATGATTGATGCAAGATTTTAGAAAGTCAATCTTGAAAAATACAGTAAAAGGTTGAAATTACAATATTCCAGGAAGGGAAATTTATTCTGAGCCAGTGAATAAAGGAAGGACAAAATTTGCTAGTGAATTAGAATAGCTAGAAAATGAGTTTGATTGACACAGCTTACAGTTTATAGTTGGGTCTATTAAGTAAATTGGAAATAGGCAGATTAAGAAAAGAAAAGGTATTCAAACTTAATTTTTACTATTATATGCACAAGGATATTACAACAACAACAAAAGTGAATACCCCCCAAAATAGTGAGATTTGAGAGCTTATATATCATCTTTTTTTTAAAACATATTTTTTATTTTTTAAATATATTTTTATTGATTTCAGAAAAGTAGGAAGAGGGAGAGAGAGATAGAAACATCAATGATGAGAGAGTATCATTGATCAGCTGCCTCCTGCATGCCCCACACTGGGGATCAAACCCACAATCCATGCATATCCTTGACTGGAAATCGAGCCATGTCTTTCTGGTTCATAGGTCAATGCTCAACTACTGAGCTATGCCGACTGGCTTATATATCATCTTAACGGGGTGGGGGTGGGGGGGCGGGCGGGACATGTGGGCAATGCAGGCCACTTAAGGGAGAATAACTGATCTCTAGGAAAGATGAATTGGCTATTTAAAAAAAAATAGAAAAGTATAATACTTTATTACAAAGTTTGTCTAGTGTGCTGTCCACTTCTACTCTCCCCTCCTGTGATAAAAGTCAGTCTTTCCTAGTTGAAATTTTTTTTTGGTGGGGGGTCTATGATTACTTAATTCATTTTGGAGGATCTGTTTATTGGCATATAAGGAGAGTTCAGAGAAGGCCTCTCCCTTCATTTGTTGTTTTCCAAGAATCTTTAGCTCAAAATAATCTTTATGACAAAGGGGTTTATTGTAGGGTGGCATAATCTGCCAGTTTTCACAGCTGGAAGAAAAAAAAAATCAGGCTGGAAAGTTCTCTACTACAAAAACTAGTGTTAATTGTCTTTATGCTGTCTAGTCATTTCATTGTTTAGAAGAAAGATACTTAAGAAAGATTTTATATCAAGAGGCACAATAATAGCACTCTTTAATTGAACCAATATGTGTATTTTGTAATTGATCAATTATCATCTCATATGAATAGAAATCTTGTGAATTTAAACACTAATTTGCATCCTAATATCCCATGCCTTCCTTCTCTTTAGAGTTTTCTTTGATAAGGGGTGGCAGTTGGCTTTAAAGAGGTTACAATTTCACCTACAATGAAATGAAATCTTATTACCAGTTCCAATTCTCTGCAACTTTGATCTAATAAGACCATGAGAATCAATTTTAAAGTACTTTATAATCTCCTGCAATTTGGAGAGATTTAACTAATTTGATTTTCACTTTTTAAAAATATTTTGGACTCTGTCTGATAGCTACTTGGAAAAGGTTTGTCAATTTGTATTGTTAGATTTTTCAAAAATTTTTTAATATTGATCACATCTTACCTCTAGTGGTTGAATCTTAGCAGCAGACTGTAATGATAATTGACTCAGAACAGAATTGCCTGTTAGATAAGAGCTGGGATTTCAAAACAAATCCCTGGCCAATACATCCAAGTTTATTTATTTATTCATATAAATGAATATCATTTATGAAATTGACATTTTACCATATCAATAATGAATGGACAGTGCTAGATGCTCCAAATATAATTTTAATCTTCCTTGTGATTCTCATGGATTTTTTTTGTATTGGGAAAATGATTATATGATAAGAGTTCATGGGTGTTAAAACAAACCCAAACAAATAATAACCGAACATTTTCCATTCATTTCCAATGTGTGTGTGTTTTTAAAGTATTGTCAATGTATGTGTGTATTTAAATTATTGTCAAGCAACTACCAATTTAATCAAGATTCATTGTTCAAAGTTAATTCAAAGAGAAACAAATGGCAGTATTTTTCTCTTTTTAATCATTGACAGTAAACACATAAAATAGAAAGAGATAGTTGTGTCTTGTAGCTCTGTATTTTCCCTGTTTAACTGATCTGATAATGGAGGATGTACTGTCATCTTCAAAAATAAAAACAGCCAGTTGTTTTATTGGCAGTTGAGTGTATTTGGGAATAGCAGAACGTTGCAATTTGGGGCAGGAGAACCATAGGCAAGTCCAAAGAGACAAAGGGAATGTTAGCTCTTATTAGGTTTTAGGAGGAAATTGGGGAGGGTTGTTCATGGGAAAGCAAGAGTTCAAGGCGCTGGTGGTTTTTCATAGATCTGCAAGGGGTGGTTAATGTGCTGCTTCTGGGGCAAGGAGATCTTCCTTTTTATAAAAGCAGAAGATAGAACCCAAAGTGAAAAAGGTCCTCCCTTCTTGCTGGATTTTTTGGCTGCAAGAAGTGGTACTTGCATGAGAGCTTCCCCTTCAGGGCTTTTAAACTCCGTTTTAAATGCGGCTTCCTTTAGCAGTATATTTATTTTCACACCCTCTTCCAACATATTTAACTGGAGAACATTATTGTGTATTTCTTGGAAAATCTCATTTCATAAATATCAGCATGATTTTTTAAAATTCTTAGATTATCTTTGTGACCCTCTTATGGTATCCATATACTCCCTTGCTTGTGCATGCAGAACGTTAATATTATACTACATTATTAAAAAAACGACACATCTTTTACTGTTATCTCATTGTCTGCACTCCCTTGGTGCTCATCTAGATTTTGATTGAAGCTTGCTTCAGGACAAGTAAGATGTCTGCTTAATTTTACTTAAAAGAAAGTTGGAGTATTTAGGACAGTGTTTCACTCATTTGGTAAAAACCAGGCCTAAAGTACTTTATTACTGGTTTTATTTCTCATGGCACATATATTTCAGCCTACTGACAATGTCTACTACTTTTCATTTAACTTCTCTTTGGAAACTCCATGCCGTAATTGTAGATTTGTCTCAAGAAGTCAAGTATTTTCTTCACTGAAAATTACCCATTCCTCTTGATTGCCATTTCTAAATACTTATCAGGATTTTGTTTTGTTCTTTTCTCTTACAGCCAGCAGTCACCAGAGGACCTAGCCCGAGTCCCTGCCAACTCCACTAGCAATATCTTGAATAGGCTACTAGTCAGTTATGATCCCAGGATAAGACCAAATTTCAAAGGTTTGTTTTATCCCCCCTCAAATATCTACTTCTTTGTAATTTAAAAATTAATTTTATAGTATGAAATAATTTAGTTGTGATGTTAAAAACAAGATTGCAAATTGGTATGCATGTTCGAAAATAGGCAAAATAATAATCTAATAGATTTATATGCTCTCCAGTTTGTATAAAAAGGTATATTGTGAATTAACAGGCTAGCCTCTGTAATGGGTTTTTGAGTACTTAGTATTCTTAACCTTATGATTCAAAATTTAGGCTCTGGTTGCAGAACTGGCTTTCATTCACAGGCATCAAAGTTATAGTTTGTAGGAAAGTGGCCATATACTCATTAGAAATAGAGAAAAGTTTTGATTTCTATTTCTATTATTTATTTATTTATTTATTTATTTATTTATTTATTTACATTTTCTAGCCTTTCATACTGATAAAACATTTTTTTTTCTTCTGCTCTTTTGCTGAAAAAAGGTGGGGGGAAAAGATGACCACATGTGTGAATAATAGTGAAGCATGTATTTAGCCTCTGAAGTACTTAAAAGACTGTTTTCTACAACATGGATTGATTTTATTCCAACAAAATACTACTCTTTATCACACCTGCCAAGAACAAAATCCCTACTTGCTATGAAAGTCATGAGAAGACTATATAAGGGAGCAAACTTTTTTTTTTCTTTTTCTTGCTTTAATTTTTAATTGTTTGTTCTCTTGATGAGTTAGAAAAGCAATATGAAAAAAAAATCTCCTCTCAAAAACTATAATCCTAAGAACAGGTATTAATGTAGATCAGATTAACAGTATAAAGCTTGATTTTTTTCCTTCACAGAAAAAAAAAAAAGTCTGCAGCTGCTTCTAGTCAACTGAAGTTATACAACTATGTTGTAAAAACAGGGTTTTTTTGTTCATTACCAGAACCTATTCAGTTACTTTCAACAACAGCCATGGCCTGGATTGTCACATGTCTAGCATATATTGATTCACCACCTGTTTTTCATCAGCCAGTGGTTATGTGGCTGAAAGGCTAAATTCACATTTTCCCTTTGTTAGCCCAACCAGCAGCCCACAACGAGTAAGGAAAAAAGAAAGCAAGAAAGAAATTTGCAACATTATACCTTAGTTCTCACTCCATGAACTTTCAAATTACTTTCTAAAAGGTCAGGCAAAAATCTTTATAATGACTCTTATATGTCTGATTAATTTTGCAATTGCATGAATTAGAAAGAAAAGGATAGTATATGTTAGTGAAATCTACTGAATATTGCTTACCAAAGCAAGTAAGAGCTTCTGATAATAATACACATTTTAAAAAAGTAAACAATATTTTAAATGATATTTTGTAAAGGATAATTTACATTTTCTTAAGTAAATGCATCAACTCAATTTATAAAATTTTGAAAGGTAAATAAATGTATTTTCTCAGAGTCTCTACAATTTAATAGGTAACTATTTCTGAAAAAATAACATTATAAAATACAACTTAACTCATTTTTTATTTGCGTTATGATCCCTATTTAGAAAAATAAGTTAGTAGTAATTGTGAACATGGTATACTAAGACCACTAATTTATAATTTACATCATATGTGAGTTAGGAAAAATATAAAAGAAAATGCATAGACTATGAAATATGTAGATTCTGACCAAGTTTTTTTTTACAGCTACTAAATATATCTTTAATTTTATTTACAGGTATTCCTGTTGATGTAGTTGTAAACATTTTTATCAACAGTTTTGGATCCATTCAAGAGACAACAATGGTAATAGTACAGTTAACTTAATATTTTAATTATCAAAATTTAAACTAGAGCATAGTGAAAGTAATATTAAAACTGAAAAATATTGAGTAACCCTGAGGAAAAATGCATACTTTCTCCTGGTATAAAGTAATCCAGTTCCAAGGTTTTGTTAAGTTAATGATTTCAGTATCTATGATACTTTGCAATCAAATTTAGCCTTAATACTACATTAAAAAGCATAGACTTGGAAAAATTACCATACTCACTCTGAACAATTAATTGGATACTACATGGGAGAAAAAGGATTTATGCAATTAATACCATGAGATAACATTTCCCCCCAATATTCGAAGATGTATGAGCATTCAAAAATATTTGATTGTTGACAGGTTTTGTGGTGTTTTTTTTTTCCTTCCAGTTTCTTGGGGGAAATCTCTGTTTTCTCTGTTGTGCTAATTTTGTGATGTGTGGAACAGAAAATTTTAAAAAGCAAATACGGCCATGGAGCTCCCTGAAAAGATTGTCACCTTGGGAAGAGGGAGATGAGTGGGAAGGAGGGAGAGGCAGGATCCTGTCGTAAGGAACAAGAAAGAAAGATATCGGGGATTAGCTACTATTCCTGATGAATTAAACTTTAGAGACAAAGACTGCCATTCAATAAGATTAGATTTCCTGAGTGATGTATGATGTGATTACCCCTCAGCTTCTCTAAACATATTCAATAAAGTTTGCGTGCTTTTTGATGTTTTAGAATATAGATTTGTGCTTTTTTGAAAAACTATATGCTAAAATTATACTTCAGGTTGGAGAAAGAAGGCCCAAGTTTTTTTTTGTTTTGTTTTGTTTGTTTTTTTTGTGTGTGTGTGTGTATGTGTGTGTGTGTGTGTGTGTTTTGAGATACTTAAATTTTTCTTAATTCATAATATAAGGTGTGGATTGAAAGCCTAATAATAATGGTTACAGCACAGTGTAATTACTCAGGGAATATCTCAGATTAGAGAATGAATAATTTGAAACTGTTCCTTTATACCTAGTAGCAGCTTGGTGTGTTTCAAAAGGAATTGTATATTGCATTTACATTACAATGCCTATTTTTATCTCTAATTGTGATGAGAATGCCATGTATTTATTTTTATAGAAGCATGTATTTAGCCTCTGAATAATTGATTTTCTTAGACAATGTGTAAATATTTTTAGAGAAGTATTTAAAAGACAATTTTGGAATAGAGTTCAAAATTGACTTTCAGTGACTTTTTAGTTCACCTAAATGACATAGACATACAGTACAGATCAGTAGATGACAGCTTTGAAATATAATGTACACTACCACACGTCACTCAGGAGACAAGTATAGCACTCATTAATTTAACATGCAATTAGTCTATCAAAGCACTTCACTCTTCAAGAGCAAGAGCTGTCATTTTTCTCACAGGGAAACTTCTTAAGGGGAGCTATTTGGTCTCCATACACTTCTCTGTACAGTTTTATTTTTCACTTGTGTCCTGGTGCACGGATTTGTGCACATTAAAAGGAAATCAATTAGAAATACTTTAGTATTGTTATTCTCCCTTTCTCTATAATAGAAGTGTCAACCAAATTCATGATCAACAATGACAGATTGATACACATGCACGTGGCGCCAGCGAGAGCTTTATATGTGTCATGCATGCATGAGTCAACTTTGCCTTTTCTCTATGTATTATAGAATAAACTTGCTTAATTAGACCTGCTTTCTGATGTAGCTAAACTTTTTCCAGCCCAGTAAAGCACCCCAACTTCTCTTTCAGGTAATTGTCAGAAACACAGCAGTAAATAACAACATGAAGCAGATTATTATTGTAGGTTACACATGGAGAACAAAGGATAAAATATTTAACTGCAGCAGTGTTTGACTATATTCTGTGCAGTGAGAAAACCTGAAGTCATTTTCAAGGTCCACCATTTTTTACTTCTTTTCAGTAGGGTAAAGTTTCTAAACTTTCTAAACCTCTGTTTTCTGGCTAATGAAAATAAAATATTATAGGATTCTACTCCAGGACTTCTGTGAGGATCAAATCATATGAGGCATGGGAAAATGCTTCACAGACATTTGGTTAAAGTGTAAAATGTTTGCACCTGGATATAAAGCAAATTGTGTTCCTGGGCTGAAGAAACTGCAAGGAGGCTAGTTGCCAGGAAGAGGAAGCTGGGCACTGCTACGTGCCATAATTACCTGGTGCTCACAGTGACCGTTTCCAGGCTGAGCTGGGCTGTGTTCTGCATTTTGTGCCATGGGGTCTCAGCAGTGTTACTGTGATTTGGTGGGCTATTGCTCCAGGGTGGTTGTGGGGCCTGTGTTCCACTTAGGGGAAGCCAAGTGTTGCTTTGTGGGCACAAAGTCTGTGGTGGTGTTTATTTTTAAATGGCCAATGCATGTCATGGCAGCTCCTACATTGAGTGTCTGCCCCCTGGTGGTCAGTGCAAGTCACAGCTACTGGTCAAACAGACACACACACACACACACACACACACACACACACACACACACACACACATATATATATATATATATATATATATATATATATATATATATATATATATATATATATATAGATGGCCCCACCACACTCACCCTAAAACACCACTATCAAGATGTTACAGCTGGCAGAAAACATCCCCAACTCTGTTTTGCACTTGAGGACAACTAATGCAAGGATGTTTTTTCTCATTTGCATAAAGGCTAAATGTGTCATAGATCAGTGCAGTGGTCAGCAAACTCATTAGTCAACAGAGCCAAATATCAACAGTACGACTGAGATTTCTTTTGAGAGCCAAATTTTTTAAACTTAAACTTCTTCTAACGCCACTTCTTCAAAATAGACTTGCCTAGGCCATAGTATTTTGTGGAAGAGCCACACTCAAGGGGCCAAAGAGCCGAATGTGGCTCGTGAGCCTCAGTTTGCCAACAACGAGATTAATACATATCATTAATGTATCTGTTATTTAATAGGTATTATGTGCCTTCCAAATATAAGACACCTAGACTTCTCTAGGCTGTATCAGCAGTTATTTGGTTCTATCAAGTTGAAAACATCTAGGAGAAAGGAATGTTAGAAAAGGGACTTTTTTTTACAGATCACTTGAGGATTAAAATAATAATATTATATTTTTATAGTAATATTATAACTAATAATATTTCATAATTTCTAAGATATCTGATTTTGTCCCTTGCATAGACTCATCACAGTAGCTAGCCCAAAGTATTTATTGCTGGGACCAGATTCAAGCAATTCTCCTATGGAGTCTTTGTTGATGCTATTTAACCCTGATCTCCATCTATCTTCTAATTAGAGTCTTTTATGGCTACTCTGACTCACTTTGTGTCCTCTTTTCAATCCAAGTCTTTCATTTCTAGTCTTTATTTGTTAATGAAATCTGATAGCTTCTTTTTGTGTGTGTATTCTTTTTATTCTCTACTGGACTACAAAGCTCTTAAAGTCAGAAATAATGCATTCTACTTCATTTTCCATAAGATACAGATGACAATAGTCAATAAATAGTAAACACATGAATAAAATATCTTGTACTAGCTAATGTTGATTGAATAGTTGGATAAATAAATTCTGCTATTTGCCTAGCACTGAGTGAATTTATGTAGCGATAAAACAATTGACAGAAAAAAAATTTAAACAATAGCTCCATGTAGAACATTTGTTTGGTTAAATATCAGACCAAATAATGTTATTATTTTATAATGTTAATTTTGGAAATTTTAGAGACCTTTATCTAGAGAACAAAATTATTGGTTTTTGTTATTTCTTTTGCTAAAATAATCTAGATGAAAACCAATCTGCCTTTCAATTTATGTTGTGTAGACTAAAGGTTCAGAATGAGAACCATCCTCATCAAGTAGATTTATTTTACCATAATTATTTTTTGCTTTTAGCAATGTCTATTTCAGACATCCCTACAAGAAAATAGTGTTATATAGAGATGTCTTTTTTTAAGTATATTTTTATTGATTTCAGAAAGGAAGTGGGAGAGAGAGAGAGAGAGAGAGAGAGAGAGAGAGAGAAAGAGAGAGAGAGAAAGAAAGAGAGAGAGAGAGAGACTTCAATGAGCACTTAGAATAATTGATTGGCTACCTCCTGCACACCACACACTGGGGATAGAGCCCGAAACCTGGACATGAGCCCTGACTTGGAATTGAATCGTGACTTCCTGGTTCATAAGTCCATACTTAATCACTGAGCCACACCAGCTGGTCTATAGAGATGTTTTTGAGGCTGTCATATTTTATAGATTTGCTCAATCTTCTAAAAAGCAAATGGTCTGACATTTGTTGCTTAATAGTTAGGAAAGGCATAACCTATTATATAGATACTAGAGGCCCTTTCGCAGTCCAGGAGCCCTTGGGGGATGTCTGTGGCATGGCCCACTCCCCCCAGGCCTTAGACACAGTTGGACATCCTTAACACTGCTGCAGAGTAGGGCTGCTGCGCTCTCCACTGGTCAGAAAGGCTTGTGGCTGAGCAGCACGCCCCCTGTGGGAGTACACTGACCACCAGAGGACAGCTCCAGTGTTGAGTGCCCCCTGGTGGTCATTGCACATCATAGCAACCAGTTCTTACTCCACCCAATAGATTTGCATGTTACCCTTTTATTATATAGGATAGTTATCATTAAGATATCTTCTAAGGAGAAAAAAATGAACCTACGATAAAAATTCATCATTACCTGCTACAAACACTTATCAATAGAGATGGCTTAGGAGGGTAACTAAAAGGTTATAAATAAATGGAGAAGTTATATTATGAGAGGATATTCACTTTCTTCCAATCACCTGGGATGAGCTTACTTTCTTGTTTTTCTTTATTTTTTTTTAGTTTTTGATTTATAGTTAAATGAAATATTTAAAGTGTACATGATGATTTAATGTACATCTACATTGTGAAATGATTCCTCTTCCCATCATATCAACACATCCATCATACATGTGAGGCCATTAAGTTCTTCTCTCTCAGCAAATTTTAACTTTC